CGAAAAAAGTGTACAAGCAAGAGAGATAACCGCACCCTGGAGAGGATTGTGAAACAAAACCCATTCAAAAATGTGGGGGAGATTCACAAAGAGTGGACTGCAGCTGGAGTGAGTGCTTCAAGAACCACCACACACAGACGTATGAAAGACATGGGTTTCTGCTGTCGCATTCCTTGTGTCAAGCCACTCTTGAACCACAGACAGCGTCAGAAGCGTCTTGCCTGGGCTAAAGAGAAACAGGACTGGACTGCTGGTGAGTGGTCCAAAGTCATGTTCTCTGATGAAAGTAAATTTTGCATTTCCTTTGGAAATCAAGGTCCCAGAGTCTGGAGGAAAAGAAGAGAGGCACTTCATCCACGTTGTTTGAAGTCCAGTGTAAAGTTTCCACAGTCAGTGATGGTTTGGGGTGCCATGTCATCTGCTGGTGTTGGTCCATTGTGTTTTCTGAGGTCCAGGGTCAACGCAGCCACATACCAGGAAGTTTTAGAGCACTTCATGCTTCCTGCAGCTGACCAACTTTTTGGAGATGCAGATTTCATTTTCCAACAGGACTTGGCACCTGCACACAGTGCCAAAGCTACCAGTACCTGGTTGAAGGACCATGGTTTCCCTGTTCTTAATTGGCCAGCAAACTCTCCTGACCTTAACCCCATAGAAAATCTATGGGGTATTGTGAAGAAGAAGATGCAATACACCAGACCCAACAATTCAGAAGAGCTAAAAGCCACTATTAGAGCAACCTGGGCTATCATAACACCTGAGCAGTGCCACAGACTGATCGACTCCATGCCACGCCGCATTGCTGCAGTAATACAGGCCAAAGGAGGCCCAACTAAATACTGAGTGCTGTACATGCTCATACTTTTCATGTTCATACTTTTCAGTTGGCCAACATTTCTATAAATCCTTTGTTTTTATTGGTCTTCAGTAATATTCTAATTTTCTGATATGATGAATTTGAGATTTTCATTTGTTGTCATTTGTAATCATCAAAATTAAACAAAATAAACATCTGAAATATATGAGTTTGTATGTAATGTATGAATATAATATACAAGTTTCACTTTTTAAATGGAATTACTGAAATCAATCTACTTTTTCATGATATTCTAATTTTATGACCAGCACCTGTACCATACAGTAGATCATCAAAGATCCAATTTGCTTTCCCGCTTACTTCCTGAGATATCTACACATGATATAAAATATAGAGTCTAATAGTCTACAGCTTACACAATTCCAACATTGAGATGAGCTGAAAGGATATTATATGAACTTTATAAATACAATTATAATTAAATGTGTTTATCTACCTCTTTCAAATGAAAGGTTTGTAATACAAGGTTCCGGTAAAAAAAAAAAATGCTAATTTCCGCTTGGATAGAACATTTAATAGAATATTTTTTATTTTTTGGACAAAATCGTTCAGCTCTACTTTCCGACTTAAGTCCCTGAACCGATCATTGGTAATTGGATATCATTTGAAAAGGATAAACATTTCTTTACATGCTGTGCACCATTAAATCATCACTAATGGGGGAAATGTTTTACCACATGTAGGAACATTTTAAAATTGGCACATCTTATCTCATTTATCAAACTTTTCCAGTGACTCATGGCAGCAAAAAAGAAAATAGTTTTTATAAAACAGTTAATGGTTTTCTATGCAATAGGGGTTTAAGGTCAGGTCAGTAGCTATAGGTTTGAACTGGCACTGAGATAGAAACTGAAACACTGCAATGGAAAGAAACGTTTTTTTGTTTTTGTTTTTTTTGTTTTTTCCACCGAACAGGTTTCATTGCTAAACTGGTGCGGGTGCTTTTCTTTCTACCTACATTGCCGCAAACACTGACCTTAAAAAACTGCTGCTATATCAGCTCCATATCTTTGTTGGGTCAGGCAGAGGAAAGATTTGTTTCCACCTCATGGTGGGGAGTTCATCTAGACCAAAAACAGTTTTAATTTTATCAGCAACAAGTCTTGAGTTAGTATTAAAATACACAGAGTCATACATTGTTTATTTTTTTGAATATTAGATAAATAATGAGATATGTTAAACTAACTAAATTGAAATCATGTGCAGCTAAATAGGGGAATGTTAAAGAAATTTTAACAATTATTTGAATAAAGTCAAAAATCAGGAAAGGGAGTCATTCAATTGATTTGCTTTCGCTTTTTTTCGGAAACCTATTTTGCAAATCCTAAAAAGAAAATAGAGTTAAAAGTTTTTTTCTTTTCATCACAGCAAAGTCTAAAATATAAGTAAATTTTGCTTAAAATTGACACATTTTCCCCTTAAATTGAGCGGCTAAGTAAGAAAGTTCACCAGTAAATAACAATTTGTAAAGTCTTCAATATGTTCTTCCATAATCTCTAAATCTCTTATTTTAGAGGCTGTTCTGCAGAAGCACTAGACATGTTACAGTAGCTTTAAATTTCTGCACAGCCTGCTGTCTAATTGTCAACAGTCGCTGTACAGGTGGAGCTGCTGCAAAGGAAAGAGCTTTAGCTACATGTTAGCTATCAACACATACAATATCATTTTATTCAATTACTGTGATATGACATTTGGACAGATTTCTGGTATTTAGGCATAGGCTGCAGTCTGCTGTTACAGCGTTTATCACTGACTGACGTTCTGAGCTCCGTAGCTGTACAAAAGCTGCGCAGCACGTTAAATGACGTAATCCACAGACAGGGAGCGTGTGCTCTGCTTCTATAGGCTGTGCTGCTAAGCTTCAACGCAGGCAATTTTAGCCACAAAATGAGCGCCATGATAAGGTAACCACCGTCTCAGTTTTAAAAAGACTGTACCCGGCTGATCCTTTCTGAGATAAAGGTTTGGTTCAAATTTTACTATTTTCCACGCTTGCTGTGCCCAGAAAAAAAGAGCAATAGAACAGAATTGGAAAATAATTCAATTCATTTCAGTTTATTTATATGGTGCCAATTCACAACACAAGTCATCTCAAGGCACTTTACAGTTCAACCAGATCATCCAGTCAGATTGATTCAAAGTTTTCTATCTAAGGAAAACCAGTTGATTGCATCAACTCAATGACTCAAATGCAATCCCTCACACTAAGCATGCTTGTAGCGACAGTGGAGAGGAAAAACTCCCTTTTAACAGGAAGAAACCTCCAGCAGAACCAGGCGCGGTGTGAGCGGCCAAAATAATGAGAAGTTCAAAAAAAATAAACCGACTTTCTACAAACTAACCTATCATTGTGAAGTGCTGTGTCAATAAGGTTTTTGTCAAAAGTTAGATTTTTGCAAACTAAGACATTCAGTGTGTATTTCGAGAGCTAGTTGTAAGTTTAACTTATTTATTATAGTTATTTCTGAACGTAGTTGTTCGTCCTTAGGTGTGTTTTTCTTAAACATATTACAGTCAATCCCAAAAAAAAATAAAGGAGACAATGATAAAAAAATAAAAAATAAAAAAAAAACACAGAAAGAGGCTATGGACTGAGGAATATGAGGACAGAGATATCTTAACCTGTTTAAATGTTCATTTAATTTATTGAGCATGGAGCTCCAAAACTATCTTTATAAAACTATTTATTTTATTACTATTTAAAACGAATTTCAAAAATCTTATATTGCAGGATTCTCTTCTGGGCCTCCTTGGTAGTTTTTAGATGCATTCATATTGTTTATATAAATATTAGAATTATATTATAATAGTACTGACCAACATTTTTTTATATCTTGTAATTTAAGTTTTGGACCTATGATCGAGCCTTACTACATACTGTGGTAAATGAAATGTACTGAATTATCTTTTATTATATAGGTTGCTGGACTGCTTGGCAGCAATATGTGGATGATATAGTATAGTTAGCAATTATACTTTGCTGAGTGACTAAATCTAATGTTGATTATCTATGTAAAAAGTGTGAAGGCCTTACACGTGATTTATACTGTTGTCGACAGTATTGGATCCTTTCTCGATTGTGATGCTGCACAAACCTCATTAGATATGCATAGTAATATTAATGAATTGGCTTACAAAAGTCGCCCCCGTATTGGCAGTATTCTTATTTGACTCTTTAAATTTACTATTATAAAAAAAAAAAAAAAAAATTACACTAATTAAATCGTTTATCTGTTTCCTCATATCACTGTACGTTTATTTCTCTATTAGCTTTTCTCTGTTGCGCTACCTTTGGGATCATAACTAAGATCCCCGCTTTACGGCTGGTTTTCTGAGCTAGGCTGCTTCTCTCGTGACAGTTGGTATTTGTTTTTGTGCTGAGCTCGCTGCTTCTTACTGCTGCCCCTTTCTCCTGCCTGTGTGTCCGATAGGATGACTCTGGTGCATGCAGGGATTCAGTGAGACGCTCGCAGCCCAGAGTCCGTGCATAACAACTAAGCCTTTTGTCCCCTTTCTGCCCCCTGTCCACCCACACAGTGCACATAATGTTGTGGAGAAAGAGCCCTTTTATCTCCTGCCCTCCACCATATTTCCATATTTTAGGCCTGGTCCAAAAAGACAACAGCTTAAACAGACTGATGCGACAGTGTGTCTACAGTGACTCTGCACCCACCCACGCAGCTTTGACATTGAGATGTGAGCCTTTGCACGCAAACACGCAGAGGCTTTCCTAATCATTGACTGATTTCTGTTAACAGAATGCAGAAGGTTTCAGGGATGTGAGTAACCAGGTTAAGGATTGCATATTCCCTCTATGTTGGAGTGAGTAGCGAGTTGTAGGAGGGAGGAGGCAGGAGGGGTTGGACAGAGGCTTGCCAAATCAGATGAGCGAGCAGTTGGAAGGGGAGAGAGCTCGGAAAGTGAAAAAGGAGCCAACTGCAAAGCAAAAAAGGTGGGGGAAAAGGGAGCGAGTAACCGGGCTGAGGAAGTAAAAGAGAGAGTGACAGTGTTGAGTATGTGTTACAGCAAAAGAAAAAAAAAGACGAAGAGCGAGTGAGTGAGGCTGATATAAAGGGATAAAGGCGGGCTGAGGTTTGTGTCACATGATCTGCTCACTGGTTGGTGCATGGGGAGCTCCAGGTGGCAGCGAGACCACTGTACATGTGAAATAGAGAAGGGGGAGAAATACTCGTCACAGAGACAACTGAAAAGCCTCGTTTTCTCCTCTCTGCCTCACAAATCTCCCCTTTCACTCTTTTCTCTGTGTCCTGAAGGAATTCTTCCAGATCCTGGTCACCCCTTCACCTCTCCCTCCTCTCCCGGCCTAACGAGGCCGGGGAATGTCCCGACGGCGAGATGCCTTATGTGGACCGACAGAACCGCATCTGTGGCTTCCTGGACATTGAGGAGAATGAGAACAGTGGCAAGTTCCTGCGACGGTACTTCATTCTGGACACACAGCAGGGGAGCTTGGTTTGGTTCATGGATAACCCTCAGGTAACTGCAGCTAACGGTATTAGCTTAGCTTTTTAGCTTTTCTTTTGTGGTTATAAACCTACTGAAAAGAAAGGAAATCTTCATGCAGCTCCACATGTCCATGTTTGTGGTTTCTGTTGATGGAGCGTTGGTCATTTTGAAGCAGCTGGGGGCCAGCTGTCATCTGCCCGTTATCTGTAGCGATGATCAGCTATCCTGCAGCTGAAAGCAACTTAAACCTAACCTCTCTCATTCATCATGAGCGCAAAATTAAGTCTCATAAATGTTTCCATTGCCGGGCAGCCTCATGAGGGTAAGAGAACTTGTAATTATGTAATTGTAGCTGACAGAATTGGGAAGCACATATTTTAGGCCCAGGAGTAACTCGGAGCAAACAGTGCGTCTGGGTTTTAGCTGCTGGCCGACACTCCTGTAAATCATTTAAGATGAGGGTTGGAGAAACTCTTCTTTCAATCGCACTTCTTTTTTTTTATGTATTATTTGTTTTTATGCTCTTACTGGTTTTGATTCGCTGTATTTTTCAGAGCCTTGTCGTGCAACTTATAAATGATGCAGAGAGAATGCTAAATAATTAAGTCCTTCTCTTTTTATAGATAAAAAAAGGTTAAAATTTAATGATGTTAAAACTGGATCTCCTATTTTGATTAATGGTGCAATGAAAATGATGGTAATGGAGTGCAGCCAAAGTTTTTGCATAATGACACAGTCTGTATTTACTTTAAGCTATAACTTCAACCTCAAGAAATAAAAATGTCACAGTCAGTCATTTAATATAAGGCTTTAGTCAATGTAGAATTGCTGCCTGGTACTAAATTTGAATAAATCTAATTGTAACGGGGCTTTGGATTCTTCATACCTGTTTAGTCTGTGGGAAATGAAAGTAATCAATCGCATCTTTCAGTCCTCACCAGCTTTTTTTCCAAGTTTCCACTGGTGTTTCGTCTATTTAAATAATGCAGGGAAGCAATATCAGTGGGGCTTTTTTTCACTCTGTCAAAGTGGTAGGACATTGATTTTAAAATCTGTAAATATAGGTTATCAGCCTTAAACATTCATATCCATGCATCCTTAACTACATCTTTTTGGCATTTTGGCAATTACTGGGACTTTGATGCATGTACTGATTGTGATGATTTTTGTGGAAAATGGACCCCAGGAAGAGTAGTCTCTACTCTCGTAGAGACTAATGGGGATCCTTAAATAGATAAATAATTAGATAGATTTAACTTGACGCCAAAGATTTTCTGGGCCCTGCAGAATTATATTCTTCCCTTTTCTGAGAGCAATAAAGGTTTTGTTTTAGCAGTTTATCTTGAGTAGCATGAAGACGCTTCTGCAACATGAAGTTAACTAGATTAAGAAACCACAATAATGTTTGACCTAAAATTTGCATAGCTTTATCATTTCCTTCTAAAGACATTTCTGGCTCATCAGATGACAGTTACGACCTTCAGTTAATTTAGATCCTGCTTTTGCTGTTTTTACCAGCAGCTTGTAACGTGTTAAGGTCAGGTCAAGCTCTGAGGCCATTATTTGTCCTGTCACGCTGGCTGCAGTGCCTGTAAAGAGGCTCCTACTGTTTGAGTAGATGCCCTGATCTCTACAGGGCAGGATTCATAACCAACCTGAGCACCATGCTGTTAAAATACAACAGGTCAAAGATTTTAATGTATGCAAAATAAAATGCAAACTGTGTTAAAAGAAAAGAAAATTCTGGAACTGGGTGAAGCCAGTAAATGTTTGTTGTTTTTGTGGCGTTTTACCGTTTTTATAAATTCATAAAGTGGAGAACATGTTAACACTGCACCAATCCTTCATTATCACACATATATTCTAAGAATCCATGTTGTTTCACGTTTGGTTTTTCTGAAGTTCAAAGAGGATCACTATTTTCCCCTAAATCCTCCATAATTCTGACCTCTTTTCAGGCTAAAGCAAGCCATTTATTGAAATGTTAGTGCCTCCAAACCTGGCTGGTTTAACTTGTGATTCAGAAATTTGCCTTCATATTTTTAGCCAAAGTTGTACCGGTAATGTTTTTTTGTGACTCGCAGAGACTTGTGTGTGGTATGACCAGCCCCGTTAAAATGAGCTCCAAGCGTTTTGACTTCATAAGATCCAATTCTCCGTCGGATAAGAGACTAAGGCTTTAAGTCTAGCTTTAGGTAGACAACTTGATCACTTTAAATGACAACTTGATAATTTCTCCCATCAAATATTACATTTGTAAGTGCAAATAAACTCTAGTCTTTTCTTAGAGAATTCCCTCTTCAGTTCGTAAGATGGTTGGAAGTATATCACTTTCTGGAATACTCCAGCCACCATGGATTGTCAGTGTTCTTCTGCCTCTTTTTTTGTTTCTCCTTCAGCTGATCTTCTTGTACTCCTGGATGCCTTAGTACAGCTCTGTTAAGGTATTGACAAGTTTGAATTGCTGTCTTGATGTGCTTTTGTTCCTCACCTTCAGAGATAGAAAAGGGTGCTGGTCTGTGTTTGAATAGGTTCCGTACTTCAGTTGTGAGGATTTCATTTCTGTCAATGTGCCCCAGTCTGTCAGAAAATTGTAGTTTTTATCTTGCTATCCTTATGAAATTCATGAAGCTGTCTACTGACTTCATTTGTTCAGTAAAGACTTCCACCTCTTTGGCTTGGATTTTGACGCTGTTGTCGCCCACATATCAAAACCAGAGGCTTGGTAAACTTCAGCCTTCTGCTTTCCTCTTTCTCCATATTGAGGTTTGCCACAATGGGGGAAACTGGGGATCCAGTGGCACACCCAGACTGCTGTATGTAGAAGCTGTCTTTGTGTGTTTTGGAAAAAGAGAGTTTAAAAGCGCAATTCTTGAATTGGAGAGCGCAAATCTGGTCATAGTGAAAGGTCTTTGTAAACGCAGGAAAAAAATAAGTCTCTTTGCAGAAAACCCATCTTTAATTAATGCAATAACCTTTGCAAAGCATCATTCTTTTTTGTACAAAGAAGGAAATTTTCTTTTGTTAGACTCTGTAAAATGTTGGACAATAGACCCAAAAATTATTTGGATTAAGGATGCACAATATACCAGCATCAATATTGGTAGGTAAAGGCAATGTTAGTCATTTTTAAGGCCAAGTAAGTTTTTGTATAGCACAATTTAGTATATGGACAATTCAAAGTGCTTGCATGAGTTGGATTATAAAATAGAAGAAAATAACTTTAAGCATATCTGTATCCGATCAGTACAACTGATATTTATGGCCACTATTAGCCATTTCAGGGGAGGGGATAAATCGTCTGGTACTTGTTTGGTCATTGGACGGTGATTGTGATGCAACTGGATTGTGGGTGTTTAACTGAAACAGAGAAGCAATGTCAGCACTGTGGTTATTTGATTATGATATTGCTAAATACCGGTTATAACAGCAATATTATAAGATATTGATATCAACACAGTTTTTTCTTATTGCCCCATCCCTAATTTGCAGCTGCTTTTTGTCAGGACCTACTAATACTGAAGGGTATTTTTGGTACCCTGAGCCATATGTTTGTATCAGATCAGATTTGTTTAAGATAACGCTTAGAAGCCATTTTGCTGTGCGGTGCAGCTCCATATGTCACAGTGGAAGACGTGGACTGACTCAAACCCCAAACAACATGGATACCAAAATATCTAAATGATCAATATCTTCTTTTGAACATATACAACACTTGCTTTTTTTATCTATACATTTAATTTTGATAGCTGGGAACCCTATATGCAATATTGTGATAATATCATATTGTGACCCAAACATCATGGCCCGTATCGTATCAGAACACCTATGCCAATACTCACCCCTATTGATAGCAATGTTGAATTCTGTTACACACTAATATAAATTGATAAAAAGATATATAATTGTACTTTGAGGGTAGTAGATTTTTTTTCTGCAATTTTAAATGTACTGCTTTTGACTGATGAAGGTTCTCAGTCATCCAGGTCATAGTCACTCCAACATTTGAATTGAGAAAGCTTCCTGGAGAGGTGGCGAAACGTCTTCAAATCTTGAAAACCAAGTCCAGTGGATATTTTTTTTATTTTTACGGAATACTGCTTTTGACTTTTCTTAAACTGTTGAAAAGGTTGTTAGGAGGGGTTGGGTTGGCATGAAAACTTTGTTGTAAATTAAAGGGAGTCCCAGTAAGAAAGGTTTGGGAACTTTTGTCTTAAACCAACATTGTCATAACTTCACACTGTTGTTTAATCTAGTTAACACCGGTCCTTCCCTTTTGCTCTCTGCCTTAGAACCTTCCAGAAGGTGCAGACTGTGTTGGCTCACTCAAGCTCACCTACATCTCTAAGGTAAATAAAATTCCAACTAATTGTACTTGTTTTATTTAACTAATGTCGTTAAATATACAATGTTTAATTGAACATGAAGAATAAGCTTTTCACTACATCTTCAGGTCAGCGATGCCACAAAGCTGAGGCCCAAAGCAGAGTTTTGCTTCGGTGAGTTTGGCAACCAAACAATTTCATCTTACTATTCCTCATTGTTTACATGCATCTTTCTCTGTGGCCTTGTTTGGTTGGCAAGTGTTGTTGAAAACATGTTCAGAAAAACAAACACAAACAAAAGAATCAAATACCAAAATACTATCAAGAGTCCGGCTTCCCAAATTTGAAAAAGTGCCTTTATGCTTATTTTTTTTTTCAATCTTAAGAGTAAATCCTTGTTCACTGTTGTCCGTTTACTGACACTAATGGTGCTAGAAGATGACAGTCAGATTTTATAAACTGTTCAGGTGTAGTTTTAAACATCTTTTAGTCTTTATGCACTTAAAATATGCCTCTCCATAGGACTAAAAAGATTTAAAATGTTGGTTTACCAGCATAGTTTTAGAATGTAATATTATACAATGGTTGCCTAGCTGGTTTTTTTGTATTGCTACAGTGGAGGCAATCAGAGCTCCATCAATGTGCATTTTTTAAGATGATCTTCTCTCTTGATCTGTCCTCGATATTTAGACTAGGGATACAACCAGACCTTTGCTCAGTCCGGATGACTGAGACTTTACACAGGCAACCTTTTCCAAAGCGCTAGTTATATTACAAAATCTCTAACAACAGATTCTTTATCACACTAAAAACAGAAAGCTATATCCCAGTTAGTTACCCCACTGGATTAAAATAAGGTGGCAAATAGTCTGACAGCATATAATAGCGACATAGTCCGTCGCTTTGATGTCACCTTGTAGCTCTAACCTTTAACTATGTTAGCGTATATTTTATTAATATGTTATTAACCTAATGGGTTCCTGTTTTGTTCTTTTATAAATAATGTGAAAATACACATCTTTTTGTTTATTCAGTCACTACTTAATACATCTGGCACAACATATATTTAATTCTTAAAGGTATACTAGAGGATTTTTGCAAGTTTTTGAAAAGACCCGCCCTCTCCACTTAAAAACAAACAAAAAAAATATTCACATGTACAACCCCGTACCCGCTCCCGAGAGGGAACGCCTATGAAGCGCGTTCGAGAGCATGCACGAGCCCATTTCTCCTCATGCACGCTCTCTTTAAAAGTTGATGTTTGCATCGCTTATATAACTTACTTTCCAAAAGAAAATTTGCAATTTTTCCACTATGTCAGACTCGACGACGGCAAGTGGAAATGTGGACGAACACGTAACGTAAACATATCAGAGAATGATTGACAATTAGGAGCATCACTTATCTAGATGATCCACCCAGAAAAAGAATGTCCCCCACTATACCTTTAACTCGGCATAGTATTAAAAATACATTGGCCTTTCGCGTGTGCTTGGTACAAAAAAAAAAAAAAAAAGTTTAAGAACATTGTGGGTTATCAATACGTTTACTTCAGATTAGTCAACTTTAGATTCATAAATCAATAACTTGCTTCCCTACTTTCGATTCATATTAAGCCAACATATAAGTGAAAAGAGTAGCATAAATTTACAGCCATCATCATGTTCTTAAAGAGTAAACTTCCCTTTCTGTTATTGTTTACTTACCGCCCCTCCATCAAATTCAATCACAGGAAATATTAGTGGGACTAGTGGCAGCCTGTGTTGATTTAGCGGTGTGAATACACAATGTCCGGCTGTGTGTGCACCATATGCCTTGCTATGATTTCTACAGGAGGCCAGCATCTTCACTGGAACTTGCGCCCATATTCTGACAAACCCAGTTGTGTTTAAAAAGGAAAGTAAGAGAGCAGGAAACTTTGAAACTGATGGTTCTGGATCGTTTTGAAGTACTTCTTTTTAAGCTTCAATGCTTATCAGCTCTTCCTCCAAGATTTATCATTTTAGTGCTTTAAAGATTAAAACACTCACTTAATAGTAGGCCTATCTCATATACGTAGTCGGCATATTTGAAAAGATTAACACTGTATGGTGTTGTTATTCTGGTTATATATGTGAGAGCAGTCAAGTTTATTTAGGATGTTTTCACATCTGTAGTTTGTTTACTTTGCTCCAAATCAGGTGATAGGTTTGTTAACTTGCAACTTTTTCTGCTTTTCCACCAAAGGAAAACTCCCAAAGTGACTAAAAGTTGTCACCACAAACCACATGAGAACCTTGAGTCTGTTTATTCATCGAGTCTGTTCAGGGAGGGAGAACCTAATGTAAATACAGGAAGCACATGCTGTTTTCCCGGCTAGTAGAAAACATTGAGAATATAATTAGAACATCTGTGTGTTTCTGGGTATGATTTCAGACAATTACCTGCGCTGTATGTATATCAAATGATTTTCAAGAAGATTTCTTGGGTCAAGCTTGAAGGATTTACTTAGTTGTTTCGGATCACATTTGCACCATAAATGAATGCATTTGTTTTGGTCGATTCCTGTATTGAGTCTATAAAAAATTACCTCAGAAAGTAAACGGAAAATGGTCTAAACCCTCTTGGAGAGCTGTGTCATTCTGCTCTAAAGCCAAATGCAATGCAGAATTGGGATGAATAACAGCATTGCCTCTGAGTTTGGCTTGTTCATTTTACAGTCGACAGGTATTCCTGCCCAGTTCTGATTTTAGACATCACCATGGTGTGGAAAAGAAACAGAAGAAACACAGAAGCTTGAATAGCAGAACTGAATGATTCATGGCAGAGAGAAAGGAGTTTTCTCACTGCTCAGACCTTCATCCACTCACTGCCCTTCAGCTTCTGACTCACATTTTTCTAGGATCTAAACCTTTGTTCTTTCTTTCCCTTTGCTTTCTTTGAGGTCCAGAATATGAGGAGATTCAATGGTTGCGAAAGTTTCTATTTATCTTGACATTTAAAAAAAATGTTTGGCAGCACCTTTCATCTGACATTTATTATTGAGCAAGAAAAGAAAATCTTCGAGTTAATACTTCTTTTCTTATGCAGTTTATAGATATGGTGACATAATTATCTTATTCACAAAATGTTTTAGGTGGTAGTATGTCTTTTACTGACGGTAGTCGTGCCTTAAGTTGATTTATCCTTTCTATTATTCCCATTGCTGTGTTATGATCTGTTAGTCATCAATGCTGGGATGAGGAAGTTCTTCCTTCAGGCCAATGATCAGCAGGACCTTGTAGACTGGGTCAACGCTCTCAATAAAGCCACCAAGATCACTGTAAGTCACTTAAAACCCGCTTTTCCTTTCTTTGTTTTCGACTCTACACATCTGCTCCTTCTGCCTAATATTTCATCTTTTTCTTCTTCCTGCTTTTTTTGAACTGATTAAAAGGGACTGTCAAGGAATTAGAAGTGAGTCAACACATGAGTAACAGGATGCTGTATTGTTTCCCTGAGTTTTGGGACAAAGGACTGCTTTCATTGTTCTCCATTAAATCCTAGCCCAGCAGAGAGGAAATTGATTTAAAATGTGTGAAGCTATAGGCAGATTTGACATATGCAAATTGATGTACTCCTCTTCATGAGAAATAGAGTATCATTTCTCAAAGGTGAAACTATAACTACAAACCCTTTGTGTCTCTTTTTTAAATTTGTTTTTTTATTGTTTTTATTTTAAGGTGCCAAAGTCATGTGAAAGCCAGCAGAATTCAGAAAACCAGAAGGTTTTGCCAGACGTGGTTGGCTCCAGGAAACAGGTGTCCTATAGGACGGATATAATTGGAGGAGTCCCAATCATAACCCAAACCCAGGTAAACATCAAGTCCACCTTTCACTTCTTAAAAAAAAATCTGGGTAGATGTAACAATCCCTACATAAAATGTGATTTATTTACTACATTTTAACAAGTTCCTCTTAGCTGCCTTCATAAATGTGTTAAGTAATGATGGAAAAACTCCCAGATTTGACTTTTCACTTACAAGAACTGCAGTTCAGGGGAAGTATTCCTTGGAAATGCTTCCACTGGAATTGTAACGGGCCAAACTAAACACAGAAAGTGTCCTGAATCTTCTCCAGTAAAATGAGAGTGTTGCTGTTGAGAGTGAGACGCTCCCACTCAAATCCACATAAAGTATTATGACTCAAAGGGAAAATCCTCTGGTTAAAGCTTCTATCGGTTTATAATTCAAAACTCTTTCCCATTTTCTCCTGTTGCAGTAAAGCTTTTGTTTCATCTTGTTTTCATTTTTTGTTTAATTTGTTCGTTTTATTAATGAAATACTTTTAATCAATAAATTAAAGCTTTTATAAAAAAAATAAATAATCCAGAATCTGCTTTTCGCTTTGAAATCATTCATTAAATTTTTGATTAATGCTGAAATATGACACTGATTATTTTAATATACAGTATTAAAATTACACTGAGAATATTTTAAATCCACTGCTTTAAAAATCAAAAACCGATCAACAGTCTAATCTGGTTGGTCAGTCCCATTTGTGTGAGCTAAACTCTCCTTCAATTACTATCTTTATATGAAAATTAAATTATTAAAGCATTGTTTCAATGTTCAGATAAATACAGATGTATAATAATGGAATATTAAATTACCAGGTAATTCCTCTATTGATGATCGGTAACCATCATAGTTAATTACCTCATCTGACCCTTTGTTAAAAGAGGAAAACTTAGTTATATGTAAAGAATTATTTCAAGATAAACACACATTCTTTACAAAGAACAGTTTGGCATTTCCTTAATTTAAAGTGAACAGCTACAAGTTTGACTCCTCCGGGCCAGTAAGAGGCAAACTTTTGCTCAACCACATCCATTCTCTACTGTTTGCCAGTCTGTAAAAAAGCTTTTTTTATCTAGTTATGAGGATCTGTTGACGCCTGAGCTCCAGCTCACCTAACTTCAGCTAACAGTACTATTTCTATGGTGCAGAATCATTCAGTGTTGATATTGGCATTGTTAGCATAGGCAAATATTTATGTGTTTTGGACCATTCAAAATCTATAAAACAATTATTTATATTCCATATGTTTTTCTGAGCCACTCTAAATGTTCAGTGGATGTATTATTTAGGGATGCACAATATAATCGGCCCCCTATCGGTATCGGCCTGTATCGGCCTTAAAACTGAATATCGGACATCGGCCACCCCACCGATTTTTAACCCGATATTTGATCAGCTTCTGAGTTTCTAAAGTCTAAAAAAAAAAAAAAAATACTACTTCTTCTTCTTCCTCAAAAACTTATTTTTTACAGACTTGAAAACTTCTAAAGACGAGGGAAAAAATATTGATTCATCAAAATATCACAATATCTTCATATGCTGATATATTGCCATTTAAAAACACCATATCAATCTCTTTTACTAATGAAATATTGCTATATGTCATCGTTATGCTACGAAATCCCCCGAAAATTCACGAAATTTTGCCATATTTTTATTTGTTGATATATTGACGCGGTATTGATCTATTTTACTAACAAAATCTCACAAGAATTTGCAAAATATCACGAGTTTGTAACAGAACGATGAAATTTCATGAGATTTTAAAAAGTAAAATAGATCGATACCGCGTTTTCAAAAATCAATTTGTTATTAGCATATAAAAATATATTTTAGTATATTATTTTTCAAAGTGTCAGAAATGGATAACAAAACTGCTATTTTCAAAGACTACTTATTTTTGTCCAGCTTTAACATCGGTATCGATATCGGTTATCGGCTACATGAGTTTTAAAATATCGGCATATCGGATATCGGCCAAAATCCCAATATCGTGCATCCCTAGTATTATTATTATTACTGTAGAAAATGAATTGTTTTGATTTAAAAGTTTTACCTCAAATGTGAAAAATAAACATATTTTTTTTTCTGTTCTTTTTTCTTTTTTTTAATCTATCTGATAAAGTGTGGCTGTGTATTAGAGCTCGTGTTAACTTTGACACTCTTGGGAATTTGTATGTCTTTCCAGCAAGAAGGTGGTGAGGGTGCAAACAGATCAGAGCGTGAGGCCTTGCATCGATCCCACAGTCAGCTGCCGTACTTTCTGGGCAGGCCGGCGCAAGAACACAGCGTCATCAAGTCAGGCTACTGTGTGAAACAAGGAGCCGTGGTAAGCCTCCCTATCAGCTCTTTCTTCGCCGTTACTGTTCGGAAAACCCTTCAGGTCTTTATTTTGCATATTTTGATGATATTTAGCTTAAATATTCAACACTCTTTTAAAAGTTAAATCTTATTTTTCACAAAAAGAAATCGTTTTTTGTCAACCAGTTTGGTTGCTCTAAAATGTGAATTCCCTAAAGCTGCCTAAAGATGGTAAAGAAGGCGCTAGAAATAGACTGATACTTCAGCAAGCCAATATTTATGGCCGATGTTCGCCTTCCTCTATCTTTATCGGCTGATTAATGCATGCGTCTACAGATTCATAAGTGCAATTCAGCAGCCACGTTTTCAGATCACGTTAATGTCATGCATTTTCCCTCTTGCTCCATTAGCTATCTATTGTTAATAGTTTATTTGATTTGTGAATAAATGTTGCTTTTTTGTTTAAATTGAGACTTGTGTAACTTATTTTTTTATCATTATCTTACTGTTATCAAGGGTAGAACAACTCATATCTGCTCCAAGAATCAGCCCAAAAATATTAGCAACACACATCAGAGAACAGATAGACTGTCAAAATAATTGGTATTAGTATTGCCCTAAAAAAACTGTATCAGCCTATCTCTTGCACACTTACCTCTCTCAGCCAATATAAGGGATACATTAAAGCAATGGGCTGCTGACTACAATATTATTCTCTTCAGCATGATTTGGTGGAAGAATTTTAAAAAGTTAAACTTTTCCTCTACTTGTCAAATGTCTGCAGTTTATTCTTACATTTATGTGTTAAGAGAAAGGGATATTTGAAGAAAAAAAACAGGAAGCTGTTTGGTTTTGGAAAGGATATACTTCCCGGGAGGAATATTTTTAGGTATGCTTTCCACAGTTTGCTAATATATGCAGAGACGAAACATCTTATATTTACCTGGAAAAGTTCTTTTTTTTTTTCTAAAATTTCTTTTTCTTAGTTTTTTTTAGAAACTATGCTAATTAACTGAACGTGCTATTCCCTTTTTCCTAGATGAGGAACTGGAAGCGTCGCTACTTCCTCCTTGAGGAAAATGCAATGAGCTACTTCAAGTCTGATTTGGTAACTAATTCTTAAAATAAAGATATTTAAAAAGTGTGTTATGTTGGGTTTTATTTTTTTTTTTCCAATTCACAGAAGTAGACAGAGTAACAACACTCGCAGTCCAGTTTCAGCTTGTTTTAATTCACAGTCTGAGGAATTCACTGCCTGCGCCTCACATGTCCTGTCACGCCACGTATTTCTAGCCCCAGCCATTTTTACTCACACACACTGTCCTCAAGACAACCTGCACATCCTGTCCTTGTCTCTGTCAGCCCCTATTTGACAAGTGTATCTATGTATTTGGCTGTCAACATCCTGAAGGACACAGACGCTCTGTCTAACAATCAAGAACATTACAAACATCTGGAGTTTTTATTTGTCTGTTTGAGATTTTTGCTTAGTGGAAAGTTTGTATTTGGATTGATTTCAAGTAATGATGCTATAATTAATAAAATTATGTGTATTCAGTAAATACTTGAATGATTTCTGCTGCATTTAGGAAAAAGAGCCTCTGAGAATGATCCCACTGAAGGAGGTTCACAAAGTCCAGGAGTGCAAACAGAGGTATTCGACATGCCCTGACATTTTCCTCTTACAATATATGGCTTTGTGTTTGATACAGGTAGATCTATATCAGCTGTACACAAGCTAAATATGATTTGATGTTGTTTTTGACTTTGCTGCAGTGACATCATGATGAGAGATAATCTGTTCGAGGTCGTCACCACATCCAGGACGTTTTATATCCAGGTACGTTTTCTTTCATCTTTGAAGGAGTTTAGCTTGTTATCTCTTAGATCAGACTGTGATTATTTTAGTTTTCTGATCTTATAAATCAATCTTCTTCTTTACCTTCTCTTCATTCCATATTTAGTCACCTGACTGCATAGCGTTTCAGCTCATGTTAGTTCCATTTCTTCTCCACAATTTTTTTTCTTTTTTCTCTACCAGGCGGACAGTCCGGAGGAGATGCACAGTTGGATAAAGGCTGTCTCAGGGGCCATTGTAGCCCAGCGGGGTCCTGGGAGGTCAGCTGCTACAGTAAGTATCATTCAGGGAAAAAGGAAGACTAGCAGAACTTGAGAATTACACTGACATCTAGTGGTAGGAGTTTTCAATTCAATTTCTTTCAAGCCAAAAAACAACAAAAGAAAATAATTTTCACCCATTTTTTTCTTGATAAACATCTTTTAACTTACATCGGGTAGCAGTTTTGAAGTCATAATGTGGATAAACTGAAAGTAAGTTATACTCTGGTTACCAAACAGCCTTGTAATCATAATCCTTGACCTCTTTTATATTCTGTCATATTGAAACCTCCATCCTCAGGGTATTTAATTAGATTTTATGAAACAGACCAACACAAATTAGCCCCTACATGTAAAGTAAAACTAAAAGTATTTATATTCAGTACAAATAAAAATATTAAAAAAAACGTTTGTCAGCACCCCTAAAAATATCCAAATGCGTTTAAATTCAGTAACTGGAGTGTGTTAAGGTGATATAGAGGCTCACTACAGCTGAAAAGCCCGTATGGGGTTTGTCATAGAATTGCTAATAGATCACAAAAGGAAGCCATCTTCCAGGTTTTGCTAATCTTACTGAGAACTACTGCATCCATCATGTGATTCATTAAACAGTATAGCAAATCGGCCAACTTAACCAAGACATCTACTTGCACAAGCATCCCTCTTTTTACTGTAAATAAACTAAAGGGATCCAGAACAGAAAGAGGGGAAGTTCTGCAAAATATTTACTCAGAAAATGTTTCCTGTTAATGGAAAAAAAAAAAAAAAAAGATGCAGGGGAGGAAAAAAAAAATTCTTCCATTTACGATTACGTTCTAATTTATGTTGGTCTAGAACATAGATCTGCAAAGATTCAGTAATTGCATGGAGCCTTTCAAGCCTTGTTTTTTTTTTTTTTTTTTTTTTTTTTTAACCACTTCTCCTCATCACCAAACACCAATCATAAGCGTGTTAATTTATTTAATTCTCCTTGTAGAATTCAGTGTCTGTTAAACAATCAAAAGATAAGACATTTCACAAAGGGCCTGGGATACGGTCAGTTTTCTGCTGCAGGTCCTGAAAAGTACCAGAGTTTTGTAAATTATACACTTTTCTAAGTACACAAGATGCAGCAAATGACAAAAAAGGTAAAGCTGACAGGTAAAGCTGAAAGGTGCTGAGAAATAAACAAAACCTCTGCTTCCTGGAACCATTCTGTGACTCCCAATTTCTCTAAAAATCCATTTTTTTTCTCTAGCTGTTCTTCCTCTTTTCTTACTTTCTCTTCTTCCTTTTCCTACTTTATCACAATCTCTCCACCTCCGTCCTGTCGCCCCGGGATCCCACCCATCTGCTCTAATCCTGCTGTGCACTGTGTTGTTGCAGATGCGGCAGGCCAGACGGCTGTCGAACCCCTGTATACAGAGGTATACATCTCGAATCGGGGAGTGCAGCAGCACGTATGTCAGCTCGTCTAAATCCCCCTTACAAGCTATAAGTTCACCTTTCCAGTACTTTTTATTTTCTCCCCCCCTCTCACTGGCTGGCGCTTTGGTTGTAGATATTTGCTCTTTTCACACATTGAACATTAAAAACAATGTTCAACTGAATTTCCTTTAAAATTAGCTTTTTATTTTCAGACTACAGTGGCTGTTTATACAGAGACTAAGAGATTTTTAGTGACATGTTGTCTGAAACTTGAGCGCGTATAAAGGTAACGTCTGACTAGCGTTTGCCATTAAATGTTTTTCCGTAAGGACGTTAATAAAATCTGATAAGATCCCTGAACAGCCCATATATTGAAAGTGAAGTCAGCCTATTTCTTTGATTATTATATGTTTTATCATTTACATCAACTTCCTCATGGAAGTAAGAAATTATTTAGATTTCTCCAACCTTCTATGGTCCTGATATTGTTCGAGCAAAAGTCCCCCGAGTACGTGTGTCTGTTTGCACATCTAACCTCATTAGAGCATTTCCAGATATTTAGGATTACATTGAATGTGTGAAAATGGCTGCTTTACAAATAGTTAAGACCTAAAACCAGATCTAGTACTACTGCTGTGAAAACGTATTTGCTCCCTTAGAGATTCCTTTTGTTTGTCACACTTTGATATTCATGTTCCTGTAACAAAGTTTAGTATCAGACTAAGATCACCTGAATGAATACAAAAGCTAATTTAAAAAAGTTTTAAGCTATCCAAACCAACATGGCCCTGTGAATTATGAATTAACCTCCTAAATTTAACTGATTCCTCAATGTCTGTGATTAATTTGACCACAAACATCCAGGGCCTGAATTTTAGCAGACCTGTGGAGCCACCAACATAAAAGCTGACAGGCAATATAAAGTTTAAGATCTGGAAAAGCAGAGCTCTTCTTATCTAAGGAAGTTCAAGAACAGATTAGAAATAATACCAGAGATCTGGGAAAGAAGATGAAAGCCAGTTTTTAGGCTTCCCAGGAATGGCCACTAAAATGAAGTTACTCCAGGAGCACACTGACAACTCATTTAGGGGGTTTCAGAAATCTCACTGTATTGTAGCCCTGCAGGACTGGTTTACCTTGGTTAAGATGACCAACACAAGTCTCATCTTTTCCTGGAGGCTGTAAAAGCCACAAACCAAAAAAAATAAAAAATAAGACCTTTGTTGTACAATGTAAACACAGTAGAGGTGGTGTGATGATCCGGGGCTGCTTTACAGCTTTAGGACTTGGATGAGTTTCTGCTCCCGATGGAGTTCAGTTTGGTATTCTGTCAAAAACAAAAATAATAATAAAAACAAATAAATATATATATATATATATATATATATATATATATATATATATATATATATATATATATATATATATATATATATATATATATATAATCTCTTAAATGAGAATTTCTGGCTGTTGGTTTGTCATGTTAATCTCAGATTAATTTTGGGTCTGATAATCTAAGCACTTGTCCATGTCTGAGGGGTCATTAGAAGAAACAGGTTAGATGATGGTTTTGGAATAACCTGGTGTAAGAATTGGGATCATTGTGCGTCCATTTATGGTTTTGGTTGAATCAAAACATTATTGTAAGGTGGGGTGGGCTGTAGTTCTTTTGCTGCCACATAAAAAACTCATTGCAAGTCTTTTTATAGTTGGACAATAAAGGGATTTTCTATTCTAGATGGCATTTGTCGACGCTGGATCAATCACTTATTAGCTTTAGGAGGCTGTTTTTCCACATGGGCTCCGAGCTGGTTTTGATAGCTTTTTATTCCCTTTCCTAAATGAAATGAATCGAAAAAACCTTTTTAAATAATGATTGATCTTTTTCAGGAATTTAGAATTTATGTGAACCAAAATGATCAAAGCAAAGGAAATTCATAAGGAATCTTATTCTTTTTCACAGCTTTGTAAGTAGCAAGCACATCCTAAATATGGCTGCGATAACTCGGCAAGCTCTCTCACTCTATCCCCTTTTTCTTTTCGCTTCTTCATTTCTCTTTTCTCTCTTTTTCTTGGGCTAAACTCATAAAGGTTGGCTATAAGCTGTGGATCCTCTGTGTTCAGGTTGATTGGAGCCCAAGGTCATGATGAAACGTGTGCATGCACACTAGCATCACTGTGGAACACACAGGCTTAAATACATCATAAATATCAGTTTTCTTTGTAAAACCTCATCCATAAAACAAGATACCACCTTGATACTCAGCCCTGTGTTTGATTTATGAGGTTAATTGGTAACTTATGAGTGACATGCAGGCATTGCATACGTAAAAAAGATGAGATCAAGTGGCTTAATTAAGAAAAAAATGACCCCTCCCTGTTAAATGTAGTATATTATTTAATAATTTGGAGAGTCTGGTTGTGTACTGCATACATCTGATAGATGTTACTGTAAATATTAGGCCTTTAACGCACCTATTTTTAATTGGATGGTTATGTCTCCATTGCCTTTTTCAGATAGTGATGTTTAAATGGCTGCATATCAGTAAAAAAAAAAAAAAAGAAATCCCAGTGACAGTGACTTTCCCAGCAGCCTGACTGTAAATACTCTTTCTGTTTGTCATTGTTGCTGTCATTCACACCTTCTCTCTCCCTCCACGCCTTGTTCTCTCTGCAGCCTGCTGCAGCTGTGTACCTGTCTTAGATGTGTGACATCCTGCTTGTCTCTCCTGTTCCCTCCTGTTCGCTGCCTGTATGTTTTACTTTCGTCTTTCTCTCCCATGTGATAACCAGATGTGTGTGTTAACCTGTTGACTCCCTTTGTGTGCTAAACATTTTTTTTTTCTATGGAACTCTAATCTTCATATCCAAACCTGCAGATTATGTGTTTATTGTTTAGCTACGTCACAATGTTTCAGGTCTATAAAAGTTTATTCAATGTGTTTAAAATCTATCATAGAACTGCGGGTAAGTTTCAGGTATTCACCGTTGTAATAAGTTATAAACTTCCTAAAAAGCCCTGGAATATAGAGTCACTTTGGACATTTTGAATGGATATAATGAGTCTCCTGATAAATGGTTGGAAGAATTAACAGAAACAGTAAAACCTTCAGAAAATCCATCTATAGTTACTAGATGTTTTACTTTTAAAACAAATAAATGCTCATCTTTTATAAAACTTTATAGCTAATTTATTTGACCTTACGTTTCTAACCATCCTTAGTCCCACATTCTCTCCTCTGTTTTTATAAAGGATGTAGAACAGGGGGTAAAGGTCATTATGAGCTCTAGGAGAACTGATGGATTAGTTCTTGTTCTCAAAGTAACAAGAACAAAGTTTATTTGGCTCTGATTATTCATAGTTGAGGGAAAAATCAGTACTTTGGGATTAATGAAGAAGGAGGAGGAAGTGGACGAGAGCAAAATACTCCATAAGACGTGTCATAAAGCTATCATTTACACACCCAGAACAAAAATTGTGAGTGGAAAACAAAAAGGGAAGATCATTTTGTTATCTTTCTGTCTGAGCTGTGGGAGCAGGAACAGATTGCTCTCTCCTCATGGATTACCCAGCGGCCTTAAGGTGGCCTTTGAAGGACGTGGATTTTTATTTCCAATAAATCACTTTACGAGCCTCAGATCATTCTTCCTAAAAACCTAGTCATGGACAATACCCAGTACACTGGTACTCCCCGCCAGATTTTTATTCACGACTTCCTCATATTACAAATAGTTGACCAAGTTGTGCACTTTAACCGCAGTTAGGAGAGTCTTTAGGCAGGGAACGTGTGGCAACATAAATCCTTCTGCACTCAGCAGTGGTTTTAAATGCTCTGTCACATATTCTAGATGGTTATGCTGGTGAAGGTGCTCAGTCATCCAGGTCATAGTCATTCAAAAAAATTAAAAACAATCCACTGGACTTGGTTTCCAGGTTTGAAGATGTTTTGCTTTCCATCCAGGAAGCGTTTTCTATTCAAAATGACAGGAATGACGTTGAGCCCAACAAAGCCTTGTTTTTGTTTTGAAAGCGTGCAAATTGGAACTAAATAACCCCCACTCCAAATGGGTGGACCCCTTTTCTGTTCCAATTTCCATGTTTTCAAAACAAAAACAAGGCTTTTTGTACTGTATAAAACCTCGAACTTAACGCTAATCCTGACATTTTGAATTGGAAAAAGCTTCCTGGAGGGGAAGCAAAACATCTTCAAACTTGGAAACGAAGTCCAGTGGATTGTTTTTCTTTTTGTTTTGTTTTTTTTTTTTTTTGGAATTCTAGATGGTTTGTTCCTGGAAATGTCAATTTTGGTCTAATTGACCAAAGTTGAACTGCCTTAAAGGTTATTCTTCTACCATCACTCCCAAGAAACCAGTTGCCATGTAAAATGTTTATTGTTATGAAAGCAAACAATGGTAGGACGGTGGCAAAACACATGCGCCTCCTTGTCACCATATTTATTCCCCTGGGAAAGAGTAATTATAAATCACTAGAATCACTGATAAACTGTTTAAGTTTAATAAGCAAAGGATAAATATCTGCAAAAGATTTTTATTCAGAATAAGGTCATTAGGGTGACCATTAATTTTCCAATTATGCATTTAGGTAAATAAAATTTACCTAAAAATGTATTTTCCCACCACAGTTACTAAATGTACACCACTTTAATGTCCCCAGAGGTCCCAGTGTGGGATTATGATGCTGCACTAAAAGATGAATTTCAATCTTTTTACACATCTTTTCCCAGGAAAAACACTTTTTCGGTTTTGATTATTAAACGCATCACATGAAAGGATCAGTCTTAGCTTGCGGCCTTTTACTGTGGCAGATTTATGTTTTTAAACTATGGAAGCTCAGAGGTGCCAGATGCCTTCGCTGCACTCTAGTGTTGCTCTATTGCTGTCATGTTTATCTTACTAAGCCTTCACCGGCTGCTCAGTGGCGACGACTTCTCTGCTTTCACTGTCTCTGTCCTGTTTTCTTTCTTCTCCTGCTTCTTTTTTTCCAGAGACTGAAAACTGACTATGAAAAGCTGTGAAATAATAAGCAACAGCCAAACACTGCTTCCAAAGGCTCTCTGTTTTAAATTTCCTTTGCAACCTAAACCCGCTGACACTCCCTATTCCTGCTTCCACTACTACCAACACCACCACTATCTCCAGTCTTAATCCCACCCTCTTCAGCTTCTACAGCCTTCAAGCTGCTTCAGACTCCACATACCGGTGCTAAATCTAATCTAATCTTTAAATTAACCATGTTTACCAGAAATATATATTTTTTAGTCACTAATAGCAGCTGGTCTTTCTTTATCCCCCCCCACCCCCCACCCTGTTGTGTCTCACTACAGGAACTCAGCAACCGTCCCACATTCTACCGCAGCCCAGCGGGTCCCCCCGTCCCTCGCTCGCCCATATCTACCGTGCAACCATGCTACCCAGGGCGGGGGGATGTTGTCTCGTGCAGCACATGCTCGCAGCCTGGCGTGGGACAGCGAGCACTTCATGAGCCTGCTGCCGCGCCCCATTCACAGCCACACGCCGGCCCGCCTGTCCCTGCAGGAGACGCGCCTCGCCAAGTGACGTCCCCGCCTCCTACAGTCGACATGGCAGACTCCGAGGAGTCGCCGTGGAGACGTCGCAGCAGCTTCGAGCCCCTAGTTCCTGAAACTAATCCGGACCTTGATGATGCTGATCTGCCAGTGAGTCAGGTCTGACCCACTCTAAGCTGGACTAGAAGGCTTCCATCTGTTGAACAGGAAAACCTGAGAATCCAGGCTTTGGTTAACTAAAAAAAAAACTGTAATACAAACCCTTCATCCACATATGACCATGGAGCCGGCGAAGCTGCACTCCTCTGCCAAAAGCAACCCAGCGTTCACCTAAACCCCTGAACTCCAGAGGCTGTCAAATCTAAACTACATGTTTGACCTGCTCTGAACGAACTTCAGCATCAAGGCTTTATTTTAACACGTTTAGGCACAGAGATTTTTATAAATAAAATTGTGCCAACGAAATAAGGGAGCTTTTAAAATGCAAGCTTTTTCATTAGTGTTTGAAAAAAGAGTGAACTTTTTTGTTTGTTCGGTTTTTTTTAAGTTTGCTCCGGTTCATGTACACACTAATTTTACCAACACTGGATAAAACGGTAAGAAGTAAATGTTTGCAGCAAAAAGTACATATGCTTGAAAATCTGCCTCTGACCTCTTTGTTTTCAGGTATCTGTGTGGGATGGGCTTTAGCATAAAGTTATAACCACTCACATAAAGCTGCCCTCGCTTGTTTATTCCACCTCCTGTTGGTATTAATGAAGAACAAAACCATAGGCTGAATCGGCTTCATTTTTAGACTGGATTTGCGTGCTTTGCGGCATTTAGACGTAAAGGATAAAGTGATTAACTTGTATGTTTGCCGACCAAACGGCAGAAAGTCACTCATCAAATCATCATCATCACAGCGAAACACTGAGGGTATTCACTTGCTTCATTTGCATGCTAATGTTTTAAAGATTCTTCAGGTGATCTTGTTTCTTTTCCTTTTTGGTTATCTAAAGATTTTTCTGTTGCTGTGAGTTTGCAGGTTTATGTTTTTATATGCTTTTAGATCAGATTTTCTTTTTTTTTTTTACTGTGTCTGTACCTCCAGTGTAATTCTAAGCAGCTACCTGACGGTGTTATTAAAAAGAAACAACTCACTGTTATCCTACTAGATGATGCACACTAATCCTTCTTTTTCTTTTAAGTGCCTGTCTTACTTCAGTCTAGTAGTCCCGAGCTATTTCACTCCTATTTCAGTCTGGTGTTTGAATTGTTTCTATTTATTAAGTGGATGACTTGAAAGAAATAAACACTGCAAATGTGCTGCGTGGTCTAAGTTTTCCTTGTCACTTTTAGAAAAATACAATCACTATATACGAATATCACTCTTTGCTAGACTTGCTCCATACTGCCCTCTTGTGGCAAAAATAAGGTTTACATATCTGTATTCATTTAATGTTTTAGATCACTATACCTGTAGGGAAAGTGGTTGAGATTTTAAATTGGCACATTTATAACCTGAGATAAATTAAGGTGAAAATGGCTTAAGATATACATGCAATTAGATTCACCTTTCTCTGATTACAAACTCAACCACTCCAAGATGTCACTGAACCTTAAGATAGATTTCTACTTCATTAAAAATCCTTTTTTTTTTCTTTATTCAAAGCTGTTTCTAACCCTTATAGATAATCTTGGTAGAAAAAAAAAACTTCTGAGACAACCATTAATATTGCCAGGCATATCTGTTGGCACCCTCCAGTTAAGATGTATAAAAAGTGTTGAGATCAAAGTATTTGGGAAAATGCAAACCTTTACCTCAGTGCAATCCCTGCTGGCAATAAATGCTGCAACCCTGTTTTTACAGCACTCTCTTTAATAGTTGGAGTAAATAGAGAGACAGATCTTTGAGTATAATCTTCTCAAACTCTAGGAAAGTTTTCCCCTCTTGCCAACCAACAGGTTCGTTCAGGAATTAGGTCTGTGTAATGTTTCATCAAAGAAGATTAAGTTCTGTATGCTGGATCATTTCTTGGTTGATTTTGCAATAGTTTTTTATCCTTTTAGCAAAGACCCATTTTAGTTTCTTTTGGTTTGTTCATTAAATAGCTCTCTGTATCTTAATCTATGATGCTTTTCCCTCTAACATGGCTCCACAGGTCTTTGGAAATAAAGCAGGCCCACAGTATGACAAATCCTCTGCCATACTTAACAGTGAGCATGAGGTCATTTTCCACATATTCATCCTTTTATTGTACAGCGCTTTGAGCTGAGTACCCTGTTCCAGTTAGGCAAAAAACGCCACGTTTATATTAATGATGGTAGGAAGTGGAAAGGCTTTTTATTTTTGGCATCAAATGGAAATGTATCGGCCATCGATGTTTGCTGCTGGGTTTTTTTTAACCATCGTGCTAATCACTGTGCATTATGGGTAGATAAATATGGGCCCTAGTCTAGTCTTGTGGCCAGTGACTAAAAGAAATGGGTCTCTCTGTCACGTCATGTTTATATCCCGGGGTAACAAAGTCATGACGTCTCATTTGGATGTTCTTAGACATCCTGAGCACTAAAAGAGGAAAACTCGTCTTCATGAGACCTAAAATGGAAATTCAGACGCACGTCTCGTGAATATTTTCAGCAGTGTTGTTCTCAGTCTATTATCATCGGTTTTGAGACTTAAATGTGGTTTTGGGCATTGAACTACAGCCCCACTGTTCCTTTTAGACCTCGGTTCAGAGCTGAGACAGCGGCCTGTCGAGGAGAGATTACACAGACCTCAGCCGATTCCATCCTTGGCTGTGCTCACTGCCCCTGGTTGGAGAATGGGTGTTCCTTATAGATGAGGTTGTTTTCATCTGAAGATTTTCCCACCATTTGTCGGCCATGCATTTACACTGAAGAGGGTTCTGCTTCATAATCAAAGGACTCTATAAAGTTTCTGCCAGATACATTAATTTTGTTTACAATGAGTGGTTTCATGCATTAAAATTATAGCATTCACTTTTTAAATTTAGGTTTCCCTGTTTCCTTTGCAGCCCTGTTCCCTTTCTAATTGCCCTCTTCCTACTTGCATTCACCTAAACTCTCTGCAGGGGGTACCAACCCTCAGTCCCCTTTATTGCCAGACAGCCTTCCACAAACAAACTCCCCCTCTGTTTAAACCCACTCGGGGACCATTCAATGAATCCTTCTCCTCACAATCAATAATGCTGTATCGAGGCGTTTTATGATGCTGATTTACTGCAGTGCCGTTTATGGGGATCTTACAGTTGGCAACAGACTTTTAAATCCAACAGAGCTCTGTTGTTTAAAAAGGGAAAGATAAATAAAGGGATTAAATGGCAAAACACACCACATCGTGTCACAGAGCTTTAGTGGCACTTAGTAACTTGGTCATATAAAAGAACAGTTCAAAGCTCTTATAAGGACTTTGTAGATTAAGTTAGATATATTAACCTTCACAAGCCAAACAATCTTCCTGATGTTTCCCCTCCTGATAGCTTGGTTTAGCCATAAGATTCCATGTGTGACTAATTAATGAGGGAGTGGTAAAATAAAAAAAAATAAATAGTGAATACAGCCCTGCGGATTGCGTGAGGAGCAAATAACACACAGGCTTTTGGTTTTATTTTCAATTTATTCAAAAGTAGGGTACTAGAATCTAGTAAACATGTGTGTGTCTTATAAAGTGGTTCCACATAGTATGGCAGTTTCCATACTTTCTCTTGCAGAGAGTTTGGAAACGTTTCTGCAAGAGAGAGAAAGATTAATACTTTTGCACAGAAACAGCAGTGCTTCATTTAAGCATTAATTCATGGCATATATTTCCCCCAAGACTTAACTTTTATATGTTTAAGGTATTTTTAATATTCTCAAGAAGCAATTTGTATTGTAACCAGTTGAGAAAAAAAAAAACTGAAGAAACATTAATCAACAATAACACAATAAAGCATCATATCGATGACATAAAAACATATATTAATCATTTTTCTTGCATACATTGTCTGTAGCAACAAATAATTTTCTTAATTAATCATGCATGTTTATATTGTTTTGTTTGTTTTTGCTGTTTTATATTTTCCACATCATGTGACTGTATAATCTATTACTTATCACCGATCTCTGAAATGTGACGGTGAAATAAAACTCATCAGCATGAAAACTCAATTTCCAAGTTTGTAATTAATGAAATACTTGTATTCTTTTCTATTCATTTTTTTGCTCTCTAAATATTTTTTTTTTTCATTCGTAGCCCATCCCGTGCAGGAGCTGATCTATAATTGTCACCTGCTGTAAGGCCTTGCTCCCTCACATTTATATCATTAAAGTAATCATTTTAATTATGAATTCTTTGACCACAGCCCTTTACAGCCTACATTAAACTCTAATTTTAACAAAAAACTCTGTAACACATTGCTGTAATATACATTTTATCTTAAATGTAATGTAAAAGTAATAACCTGGTTGCCATGAGAACAAGATTGCATAATTGAAAGGTTTGTGCATCCTGTGATAGGGAATTTCTGGTTTCATATAGTTATAGACTTAATGCCATAATAAGATGACTAATTTTTGCAGATCGTAATAAAAAGGGAATTTAAAAGTCAAGATATTTCTAATTTTTTGGCAAAAAAGAGAGGGATGAGAAATACCAAATTACAGATTTGAGGAAGGAAGAATGATCCGCAGGTGAAGATATAAGAAAAGATTAGGAACATAATGTTAGAAAGAAGAACATGATGAGAGGAATAAGGAAATCCAGCCTATCCAACTGTAGCAACTGGTATTTATTTATTAGATATTGATTTAGTATTGATTTATAATCATTATCAGAGGTTTTGCTGACCGGCACAACCTTTTCCGCCCTGAAAGTGAAGGTTGAAACCAGTCCTTTATGATAATTGAAATACTTTCTCTGAATTGGGTTTCTTTGTTAAGTTCTTTATGGATTTTGTGACACATTTGCTTGTAGTCTATGCCTGTCTTTTGTTATAAGTAGAGAAAATGATGGATTGGTAGATCGGCTGCTGCTTTAATGCAGATGCTGCACTGATATGTCGTGGTATGAGTGGCTGATCTCTCCCATAGAGAGAGGACGAGGAGCTCGGTCACTTGGGAGATGCTTAAAGCAGAGCCCCTTCTCCTCCACATCGAGAGGAGTCACCCAGGTTGCCCGGACATCTTTTTTGGATGCCCCCTTGATGCCTCCCTCTGGAGGTGTTCCAGCCATCTCCCACTGGGAGGGACCCAGGAGGGACTATGTATCTGAGCTGGTCTCTGAGCACTTTTAAAGTTTTTTGGGATGTTTAGTTGATTTTATTTACATATTCTGAGATTTCTAACATAATTCAATGAAGCCAGCAATGGCTTCCAGCTTAGACATTTTGCGTCTAATTTGCCCCCAGATGTGACATTTTTTAGATCCACCACCTACTGGCCTCCCTAAATCACATCTCTTAGAGCAGTATGGCAGTCCCCCAGGGCGCCATACAGCAACGGGTTGACTGAAGACAGGGTTACGTGTGACTTACATATATTCCATGAGGAAATCAGACACACTGAACACAGCATTTGCAGCTTTTAAACTGCTGCAGCATTTCCACCCTGAATAAATATTCTGGCAAACTCTGGCTGACTGCCAGCTTGCAGCACCACACAGAATGGAGCAGTAGAAAAACAAAGCTGTTTCCAACATTCTTAAAAAACCTTTTTGTGTTATCCTAGTGTCACGATAATTTATTTACTGTTTTTCGCAATCTGTTGATCATGGTGATATTATTAACATGTGTAGACCCGTACCCAAGATTTTTATATATGTTTCAGCATGCAGCTGTGCATGCAGTTATTAATTTTCCTAGGTGCACGGTGCAGAAAATCAGATGCGCAGACGCTGCGTGGAGGTGCGTGCACACGTTTCAAGCATGAATCAGGCTTCAGGGCCCTTTTCCACAGCTGGTCCAGTCTAGGGAACTATAGAAGGGATTAAATTAATTCCTTTAGATGGTGCAGTTTTCTTCACAATGACATTTTAATTGTTTTACCTGATGTATGAACAAATTTGTGTGCCTGCAGATCGTTACAATCCCACTAATCCCCCAAATATCTTTTTTTGGCTTCAAATGTATGCACACAGTTTGTTTTTCCCCCTGTTCTACTCTTCTTCTTCTCCAATGTGCTGCTATTACCTCACATTCTGTCTTCCTGTTTTGGGTCTAGTATGGGCGTCATTCACACTACAGAATCTGCATAAACCGGGCCAAGATCAGCACTTGTAACCTCCTTGAGGTTCCTAGATTGGGTTTATATTAGCATGATCTGTTCCA